GATCGCGGTGCACCACGCCTGCCAGCGTGCTCAGAGGCTCAGCCTCAGCTGCGCCGTGCGGGGCCGCCGCCGGTGGCTGCGTCTCCAAGGCCTCCTCCGCCAGCACCTGCTGCACTGCCTCATCCAGGGCGGCAGCCTCCTGCTGCTCCTCCTCATCCTCCTCCCCTGCCTGCTGCTGCTGTTGCTGCTGCTGCGGCGGCGGCAGGGTGCCGGCTGCGCACGGGCGGTAGCGGCTGCCGGCGGCGCAGAGGTGCAGCTTCACCCGCAGGGGGCTGCCCTCCTGCAGCTGCAGAGGCGTGCCCTGGGGGCCGTGCTTGAGGAAGTCGCTCTGCAGCGTGCCCGCCGGCGCTGCAAGCGGCAGGGCGGCGGGGCGGCGGGGCGGGGCAGGTGAGGCAGCAGATCGCCCAGCACAAAGAATTGCTACTTGACAAGGCTCATCTTGCGCGCAGGCAAGCAGGGCACCCAAGCGCCCTGCCGCAGTACCACACTCTGCCCACCGGCGGTCGCCAGCTGCGTCATCATGCACAGGTGCAGCATGGCTAGCATCCTCTCGCCCGCCGCCGCCAGCGTGCTGCCGCAGCGCTCGCAGCGGCAGGCCTCCAGAGGGTTCTGCTGGCGGTACAGGGCGTGCAGCGCCTGGTACTGCCGGCCAAAATACGCCTCGGGGCAGGACTCCAGCTGCTCCCACTGCTCCCGCCGCAGGACCGTACCATCCACAGCAAAGACCACCCAGCCATCCAGCTGGCCCTCGTGCTGCAGCAGCCAGTCGCTGTGCAGCTGCAGCCAGTGATCCCACTGCAAAGGAAACAGCGCCCGCGCCACGCGCAGCGTCATCCACATGCCGGCACCCTTGGGGCGATTGAGGCACCTGCGGCGGGCGGGCACAAGCACGCGCAGGGGCAAGAGGGGGCAGAGGCCGTTGGGGGCATGGACAGCAGTGGAAAGGTGCGGGACAAGTGAAAAGGGCCCACGCGCCTGCACGCCAAGCAGCTAGCTGACCATTCAAGGCGCGCCTTGCCACAGGCTGGCTGCGTCGGGGCAGCTCACGCTGGCAGCACGGCGATGCGGCTCTCCTCGTGGAAGTCGTCTGTGCGGCAGATGAGCTGCGACCACGCGTGCTCGATCTCGAGCGAGCGCTGGGCGTCGCTGAAGGGCGCCGCGCCCACTGCCGCCCGCTGGCGCAATGGCAGCGGCTCCATGTGGGGGTGCTCTGGGTGGGCGAGGCGTACCGCAGCCGCCTCCTCCGCCTCGTGTCCAATGCAGCGCTGATACTCCTGTGCTCCTCGCTGGCGCTGCCTGGCATGCTGCCGCCGCACTGTTGCTCAGCGAAGAACTGCATCCGCTGCGGCGCGTCGCAGCCGGACACATGCGCAGCTGGGCCGGGCGGGATGCCAATGGGCAGGCCGTACCGCAGCTGGAAAGGCGTCCTGCGCGGCCCGTGGCTTGCAACGCGTCGCATCACCTGAGATACGGGGCTGGCGGCTGTGCTGCTGCTGGTGCCGGCTGCGGCGGCGGCGGCTGGGCGCCGCCGCTCCTCGGCATCCAGCAGAAAGGACATCGCCACGGCGCTTTCCACAGCATGTGGCAGCTGGCGCAGCCGCCCCACGTCGGCGCCCCCGTCCAGCAGCTGCGCGGCAGGAAGTTCAGGAGACGAGCTTGCACAGGTTTGCAAGGTCAGGCAGGGCTGGGCAAGCCGGGCAGCAGGCAGGTGTTGGCCACCAGCAGGCGGCGTCAGGCAGTCGGCGGCAGGCAGGCGGCGGCTGGCGGCGCACGCCCACCTGCTGCATCAGGTCGCTGGCGCCCCAGATGCCCTCGATCACTAAGCGTGCTAGCTCCGGCAGGTCGATCAGAAATCGCAGCTCGGGGTTGCGCGCAAAGGCGCGCACAGACTGGGCACGCTGCTGCCAGGCTAGTTTGGCGGCCTCCTTGTTGGTCCGTATCGGACCTAACGCCTGCATGAATAGCAATCGGGAGATAAGCAAGGGACTGACAAACCTCGGACCGCGCAAGCGGCTGGCTGGCGGCTACTCACCCACTCTGCCGATCGGCCCAATCTGTAGGGCTCCCCGTCTACAGCGTAGCACGTGCGGTAGTAGTACAGGCCCTCTCTATAGGAGACGCCTGGCAAACTAAAGCCACTCTCCTTGGTGTATGGGCCACGCTGAAAGGGGAAGTTTGGAGCCGGGCGGGTCCCCCCCCCCCCCCCCCCCCCCAACTTTGCAGTCATGGCTGTAGAGGCGACAGGGAGGAGCAGCCTTGGAGGGCAGTCCAGGCGCTGGAGGTACAAGCGCAATACGGGCGTGTATGTTTGCAGCCGTGGCTGCAAGCTGACTTAGGCGACAACAGCATGACTCATGGCGGTCGTGCCACACCCGAACCCACTGCCGAGGCGGGCAGGCGGCCCAGCGCTGCCGCTTGCTACAGCGCCCCCCTTCCCGCCCGAGGGGCCCTCGCCGTGCACGCAGGTGGGGCATCCGGCGGGTGCTTCTTTCTTAAGGTCTTGCCTGGACCTGGACTACATTCAGCGTGCCAAGGTGCGCCCCGGCCTGCCCATCGTCGGCGGCGGCGCGGGCAGCGGCGGGTGAGGCGGCGGGGGTGGGCAGCAGCCGCGGCGGGTCGGCCTAGTGAGGCGTGCCATAGCTGCCCTGCCCTGCCCTACCCTGCCCTGCCCTCCCTGCCCTCACCGACCCACATGTGCTTGTTCCTGTGACATGGGCCCTACGAGTTGGAGACCAGGCTACCACAGGGTGGTGGCGGATGGGGTGGAGGACTGTGGGCAACCTGGGTGGAGCGTGGGGAAACACACCGCCTGCATGCTTGTTTGAGATTAGGAAGGTCAAGGGAAGTCCTCATCCCTTCCTAACTTAGACCTCCTCCCCTTTTCCAAAAGCAGGCGCCACAGCCGGGTCAAGGCCGACTGCAGCTCGACCAGGGGCAAAGGAAGGGGAAGGAGGAGCCGCAGCGGCGGTGGCAAAGGGTGCTCAAGGGGAGGGCTGTTGGCAATCAGCTCCGGGCCCAACATCACCGCCACCTCCCGCCCCGGCAGCAACGCGAAAAGCAGGGGGCAGAAGGAGGGCGGCCGACGCCCATGTGGAGAAGGGGCCCAGGCGGAGGTGAGGAGTCATGCCGAGATGTGCAGCAGGCGCAAGGCGGCTTTTGCGGCAACGTTAATTGGTGGAAACTTGGAGGTTGATTGGTGGAAACTTGGAGGTTTAGCATGGGGCGAAGCAGAGATGAAGATAAGAGAAGAAAATATGGCAGCGGGGGAAGCAGCCTGATGATACAGTTGCAAGCTCCCCTAAGCTTCCCCGCCTGATACTGCTGAGTGTAACATGCAAAAAAACCACGTGTCCCATCGGGACGGTGAATGGGACGCAAAAATGACAGGAACAACAGCAGTGGACTAAGAAATTACGCTGCGGCGCTCGGGCTGCAGCGCCTCAAACCGCACCTCCTCCACCACCACCCCCGGCTGCGCCCGTGCCATTGATGGCCACAGCTGTGGCCATCCGCTGTGCTGCCACTGGGTGCCTGTGCTGCAGGCCGCCAGGATACCAGCAGTACATGATGGTGACACGGCGGGGGGCTGCCGCTGCGGCCGGTGCGGCAGCAGCGACGGCGGCCCCCACCAGCAGCGCCACATGCATGATGCGGTCTGTTGTGCTGAGCTGCGGCGCGCCATCGTTCTTCATCTCGTTGGGGTTGGCCCGCACGTAGACAACGCCGCGTGCGCCCGCCTCCAGCTGGGTGCAGATGGCCTGGCACAAGGCGAGACACGGGTGGCAGGGTGCGGGGTCAGGAATGATGGCGCATGGCGCAGCCAAGAAGCTGCAGCTGCCCATGCATGCAGCCCTGCCCACACCCACCCTGTGGCACACCCCACCCTGTGCTTGCTGCCCAACGCACCGATAACATCTTTGACGCCTCGCGCTGTGAGCTGTACGAGGGAGCGCTGTGAGCATTCTCATCAATCTCGCTGGGCAGGGACAACAGGCAATGTGTGGGCGCCCGTGCCTGCACCTGCGGCAGCATGGGAAAGGGCCCAACGTCACATCTTTGGTGCTGGCTCACGAGACCCTGCTGCCAACCCCGAGCGGCGGCGGCAACCTAGCAGCCCACCACCTTGCTCACCAGAAAATCCAGACGGCACGCCTCGTCTGCTGGCACGCCGTCCTCGGGAATGGGCACCTGCAGCACCGGGGTGTGGCAACGCGGCTTCCGTCAGTAGCGGTGCTGGGCTTGGCGCCGCCCACAGCGGGGCCAAGCGGCAAGCAGCAAGCAGGCAGCCACCGCGCCTGGCCGCACCTCCACGTCTAGCCCCACGCTCAGCCCCGTGTCGCCTGTGCGCACAACACCCAGAAACGTAGACAGCGCAATGTGGCGCTCTGACTCACGCGCTGCAGCATGTGGGCGTCAGGGCAGGCGGGGCGGCGGCGGCCGCTGCTCACTCAGGCTGCTCAGGTCGTTGTCATTGGCCTTGCAGCGAGCGCATTTGCCGCCGGACACCATCACGTAAGTCACGCAGCCGGCGCGGCTGCAAAAGAAGCCCCTGGCCATGTTGAAAGGAGGCCTGGTCAGCCATCGCGGGCTGGTGACGGCATCCCCACGCGTCTGCATGTCTTCCTTAGCGAGAATGGCGCAAGCATAGCGTTTGGCTGTCTCAGACAGCGTGGTGCTGCTGAGCACCTCCTGGAGGCGGGGCTTGAGGTGCCCGGGCGCTTCCTGAGGGCCGGCATGCTGAACACTAGGCGCGACTTGGCGCCGAGCCGCAATATGGCGGATTGGCGGCGAGCGAACTTTCCTGCTGTGAATTCCAGCTCAAATCCCCCCTCCCCGAGGACAGCGGCAGCCTCCGTTCGGTTCCCTGGCATCTCAGCCCCTCATTTGGACGAGCCTCAGCAGCGCCGAGGCCTCGCTGCACGCCTGCCTGCTCGAGACTGCCGGCCCCGCAGCCTCTACGGCCACCCCTGAGCCCTCTCCCGCGTCAGAACGCAGCCATGGTGATCACAGGAGCAGCCCCGGGCAGCGCGGGCATGTGCAGAGGGGGGCGGCGGTGGCTGCAGCACGGGCCTGCCGCGCCGCCGAGCGCTTGCAAGCGCGTGCCGCTGCCAGCGCAGTGCGGCAGCTGCCTCCAGGGCGCTTGCACCGGCCAGGAGTGCTACCTGCCACTTGCAAATGCCCACATTGCTCACCCGCCACTCGATGCACTCGCAGGACGGCAAGAAGCGTGGCGGCGCCCCTGCCAAGCGGCCCAAGCGCACCCAGTATCCATGCGCCTGTGGGCGGGACAGCTGCAAGAAGCCGGTCAGTAGCCAATCAGCCTACGTGCTGCGGCGTGGCGGCAAGAAGAAGCCTGAGGGCTACTTCCATAGCAAGAAATGCGCAGGTGAGAGCCGCGACGGCGGCTAGCGGCAGGGGGGGTGCCCATGCCTGATGGCCTGCATCACACACCTCCTGCTGCTGCTGCAGAGTACATGGTGGAGCACAACACCGACCCAGAGGTGACGGTGCAGCATCGCCAGCAGGACAAGTACTGCACTTGTGCCCACTGCCTGCCTGCAGCAGGACTACATCCACCGCGCCAAGGTGCGCCCCGGTCTGCCCAAACGGCGCCGCGAGCGCCGCGATCCACCAACGCGCTCCCTGTCTGTGCCCGCAGCTGGAAAACGGCGCCGAGGTATGCCCACGCGGCAAGGCCCACCACAGCGTTGCGGCCATGGGCGAGTTGACCCTGCCTTGCCGCTGCTGCTGCCTTGCCCGCCTGCTGCCTTGCTGTCCTGCTGGTGTGGGGCACCCTGTCCTAGCGTTGCTGCAAGCGTCTGCTTGTGGGCCTGCACCACACAGCCACCCCTGGCCCGACCCGCTTGCAACCCCGCCACCCCGGTTGCAATCCCTGCCCCCGCAGGCGGCGCCGACCCCAAGGAGCGCTCGCTCGCCGCCGCCGCCGCCGCCGCCGCGACAAGCTGCAGGCGCCGTTGTGCTGAGCTGGGGCTACGGGGTGCCAGGGTGCAGCTGCACATGTTTAATGCCATGGTGTTGCCGGTGTTGTCTTATGGGGCTGAGATCTGGTCCCCCCAGCTGATTGCTGCAGGCTGGCTTTCCTCCGCTAGCTGCTGGGCATGCGGCAGTCCACGCCAGCGGCGGTGTTGCTGGCGGAGACAGGCCAGCAGCCGCTGGCAGCGCGCTGGGCAGCCCAGGTGGGGCGGCTCTGGAACAGTGTGTTGTTGGCTGATGAGGCCAGTCTTGTGCAGCGTGCTTTGCATGACAGCTGTGCATTGGCTGTTGAGGCCGGGGGTGTGGGGTTGGCAGGGCAACCTTGGGCTGGTCAGATGGCAGCAACGTTGCATGCATATGGGGCTACTGTGGATTTGCGCCAGCCCCAGCCTGTGGGTGTGTCTGACATGCTTGCTTGTGTGGGCTTACAGTCTGGTTTCAGCAAGAACAAGCTTGCAGCACAGACTTTGTTGTTCGAGCAAGGAGGGATGAAGCAGTAGAACAACAGGCAGGACAGGCCAACTGACAGGTCACCGAGCGTTTAGTGTGTGAGCGGGCAGGCAGTACTGCATGTCGTGGAGCAGGTGTGGTGCGGTAAGAGCAAAGGGGGTGGACATGAGAGTGGGGGTTCAGGGCGGGACTGCAGGCAGCGCAACGGTGGCGGTCAGCCAGCGCTGGTGACAGGCGGCAGCAAAGGCGGCGAGGCGGCACGGTTTCTGGCGGAGGAAGCGGTGGGGAGGATGGGGCTCAGCAAACAGGTCAGGAAAGTTGAGGCGCAGCGGGGCGTAAAGGGGGCAGGTGAGCAGCATGTGGGGGGCATCTTCAATGCCGTCGTGGCAGTGGGGGCAGACTCGCTGCTCTCGGGGGCGCCGCGTCCAGCGGCCGGTCTCTTCCGCGCCCCAATGCGACCCGGTGCGCAGCTGCGCCAGCGCCTCGCGGTCCTGCCGACGCCGTACTGCATCCAGGTAGGTCTCGCGCTGCCCAAACATGGCGGGCGCCAGGTTGAGGGCGCCCACCACGTTGTGCACATAGTGCTCCAGCCGGCTGGCGCCGCCCTTCGCCAGCGCCTCCTGGAGCTGCGCCAGCTGGCGGCGCTGCGCAGCTTCCCCCAGCTCGCCGAGGTCAACAGGTGCTGGCTGCTGCAGGTCCAGCTGCATGCCGACCGCTGCGAGATCGGCCGCCAGCTGGGCAGCCCAGGACTGCTGTGCCAGGGGGTGGGCGCCATCTGCGAGCTGCACGCTGGACAACAGCGCTTGCTGCAACAGGCTGCCGGGACGCTCCTCCAGCGTCTTGTTCCAGAGTTTGGCTGCCCGCCGCAGCCAGCGCTGCCACAGCGGGCGCTCGCCAGTCTCCGCAAGGAGGGCCGCATTGGGGGTGCTCTGCCGGACCCCCAGCAGGTGGCGTAGGTAGCTGAGTTGCAGCTTCTCGGCCGCGCTGCCGGCACTGCCACGATGGCAGCACGCCGCTTTGGCCGCCAGCTGCACGCCCCACACCTCAGCACCATGGGACAGCACCGAGTCCACCATGGTGCCGAAAAGCCGCAGCTGGACGGGCGCCGCCTCTATGCCCACCTCTGCGCAGCGGGTCCGGCAGTTGTGCATAGCCAGGCGCGCCAGCTGTGCCCGGGCTGGCGCTGCTGCCCCTGCCAGGCAGGTGCTGGAGTGAAAGGCGATGCTGAGATACTTGAAGCTGGTGACTGCCGCCAGCTGCTGGCCGGCGAAGGTGAGGCCTGCTGCCTCTGCTGTCTGCTGCGCCGCGTGCTGGGTCCGCCGCCCACTGAGCAGCAAGAGCTTGGTCTTGTCGATGTTGACAGTGAGGCCCCACTGCCGGCAGTACTGCTGGAGCAGGTTTAGCTGCCGCTGCAGCCCGGCCGCTGAGGTGGCCAGCAGGACCATGTCGTCGGCGTACAGCAGCGGCGGCACCGCGGCGCCGCCGCTGCCGAGGAAGCTGGGGAGGTCGAGCTGCTCGCCACGCCGCGCCGCCGCCATCAGCTCCTCCTCCAGGTCGTCGATGTAGAGGCCAAAGAGGGTGGGGCTGAG